CATGAGCGACACGAGACAGGTCCAGACACAAATAGCTCTAATAAATGAGAGGCAATACTAGTGACATCAGTAGAGTTTGTGAGTTTGAGAGAACTGAGGGCAGGGAATAAGGTATTTCATTCTGGTATGAATGCAGCTTGAGGTGTGTTTGTAGTGGGTTAAGTGGTTAACCAAACGGTCAGCAGTTTGACCCACCAGCAGCTCCACAGAAGAAAGATGATGCTGTCTGTTTCCATAAAGATTTACAGCCTCAGAACTCCCATACAGCAGTTCTACTCTGTCCTGCAGGTTTGCTATGAGTCAGAACCCACTGGGTGGCTGTGGGGGAGGTTGAGTAGAGGGAGCCATTTAAAGACTTCTGAGCTCAAAGGTGCCAGTTGAGATCTGTGTTTCAGGATGGTAATACTAATGGAAATTGAGAGTATGGGAACTGAGCCAGGAGACCAGTGTGCAGAAGCTCATGAAGCAGCCTTTGAAAACAACAAAGGCCTCAACTAGGGTGGTGGCCTTGGGTGGAGAAGACGAGGCACATTGTCAAGTTGGTTGAGCGGTGACTTGTCCAGTTGAAAGTGGACAGTAAGAGAGGGGAGAAGTGAAGCCTAGATTTCTCATCTGATCGTTAAAAGGAGACAATATCTGTATCAGGAAATCATTTGTTGTACAGAGCTAGTTACACAGTCACAACAATTAATGAATTTGTTAACAGAATAATTAAAACGAAGAGTCAGATCTATGGGTCAATGGGCAAACTGTGGGTGAAAGAGCCTAGATGATTGAGTCGTTGACTTGGGTCCACTGTGAGGGCATCCGCTGGGCACACACCAGTGCATGCCTGCCCCTAACCAGCTGGTAATAGCTCTTCACTGATAGGTCTGTTTTCCATAGTCATTGAGGATAATCACACTGTTCTTATGTTTGTAATAGAAGGAGGACTAAAAAAATGATGACATGACACTCATTATGAAGCCGACTATAAGCCAACTAGCTTTCTCCTTGGGTAGACAATACAGGTGCAAACGATAAAACTCTTGGTAAGAATGGATTTAACATTTCTCTTGTCCATGCTATTGCTTTTTAGTTTTTTATTTATTAAAGATTACATACTTGTATATTGGTTGTAGATTAATTTAAAAATAATACTTTCTCACACTCCTTTTTTTGTAGGTCAATTCTGTTCTTCTAAGCTAGGCAGAAATCTCAATGGAATAAACAGACTGTTTTTTTCCTGGTCATATTGAATTCTTCTATATGAGTTTATTTATTTTTAGCTGATGCTAAAACTAACCCTGGAATTCACTGCCTGCAAGTAGAATTCTCCTTGGCATTGGAGGGGTTTCATTCATGAAAATACTTCATGAACTAGGGGAAATGGAAGGAGCCTCGTGGTCCTGTGAATTAGGCATTAGGCTGCTATCCACAAGGTCAGTGGTTTAAACTTTCCCACAGGAGAAAAGAGAGGCTATTTGCTCCCATAAAGACTTACAACTTCGGAAACCCCACATAGGGCCACTATGAGTTAAAATTGACTCAATGGCAGTGAGCTTGAGTTTTAATGACAATTTGATCATAGTTGATCTCCTTAAATGTGGATTTTACTTCTGTTCTGAGCCTTTGTGGGTGGAAATTTCAGTCTGTAGATGAGAGAGAGTGGGGCTATAAGATGTGCAAACACATTTCTCTAAGTTCACTGACTGCACCACTCCCACCCACTAAAAGCAAACGAGAATGAATGATCACCCTCATTGGTCAGGGTTCCACACTGACCCTGTGAATGAAATGTCATTTGCTTGGGGAAATTTTGTGTTTGCTTCAAAGCTCAAATGGGTTTCATGATTGTTTTTATTGTGTGTTCTATACAACTAGTCTACGGATGCTTCGTGGGCACATTTATGCTTCCTCTCCTGTCTGTAGAGTGTAGGCTGTCTTCCTGGTTCGCCAACACAAACTGCCAGCCAGTGCCTGGCAAGGATCTTCTCCTCACACCCTGCATGCAACTTGGTGGGGCGGGGGTGGGGGTGGGGGCACTGTGCCGGTGTTCCTTAGTGCCCAGACTGACATTTCAGAAAGGGCTTCTCATCGTGCCTTCCAGCTGAGAGTTACCAGAAGGTCTGAACAAGCATCTGAGGCCAGCATTCAAAGATGAGACTGTGAGGGTGGGTGATGGGAACGGGGTCGTTCTCGTCCCTTTCAAGAACAGAGCCTGAACTCAACTGCTTTTGTTTGTCAGTCCAACAGAATTGCGTCTAAGTGTATTTCATTAAGGAATATGCCAGCCAGCTTGGCAAACTCTGGTCACAGTTGCCCTTAGAATTCATTGGGGTCCCCAAGCAATGGCCGGTGGGGTCCTGCAGGCAAAGTCACCCCAGGCCAAACCCAGGACTGTTGGGTCTACATGGTCCCATGGGGGTTGGCAGACCACGTTCCCCTAGACCATGAATCATGCATTTTCCACTGCTGAAGGGGGATTCTAGCAGCAGTCTCCGGGTAGTGCACATGGTTAAATGCTCATCAACCCACCGAAAGGTTGGTAGGTCAAACCCACCCAGAGGTGCCTTGAAAGCAACGCCTAGCAATTCTCTTCCAAAAGGTCCCTGCACACCTGGGATGGCCATGAACTGGAATCTTCTCAATGACAACTGTTTTTTTATGAATGATCCCAGGGAAGTTTTTATTTGGAGTCTTAGTTCCTCCTCTGTGAAAATGAGCTTATTCGATCCGCTCCCGAGGCCAGGGGGAAGCAGAGAGCCCTGGTCAGGAAGGATGGAGGAGCCAAGTCTTCAGGAAACAGGGTCCCAAAGATGAAAGGCCAACGTTGACCCAGAGACAATTTTGCATGAGGTTAATTAGCCCTGGCACAAATCTACTATTTTGAGGTGCGCCAGTGTGCGTTTATCGAGGGTGGAGAAAGCATGAATTACTTGCCCTTTTGTTATTTGGGAAAGCTGAACTGCTTTTAGAAATAAGGGCTGGAATGTTCCATAGGAACTCGGAGCATGGGACACAGGGGCATGGTGCACACTCGTGGGCTATTTAAAAACCAGTCCTCTGGCTTGCTTCTGCAATTCTAAATGTGTGTAATCACATTACCCTGCAGCAGCCGGGAACTATTTCTATAACATTGTCCGGCATCTGCACTTGCTGTGGCTGGGTCCCTCCAGCAAAAGCAAAATGGAGATGAGTTAACTGATGAAGTTGGCCAAGCCCACAATTCACATGGTCACCACTTATGTCCATCTAGTGTCCGAAAAGGAGTCCTTCTTGCTAATTGACACTTCTCTGTGCATTTTAAGGACTGATCTATTCAACTAGCCTTAACATGTCAAACAGGTACATTTTAGATGAGCCTTTATTTATTTGTTAAAATCTGACAAATGAATGATCTAATCATAATGTATCACCTCTCAGAAACAGCAACATTCTATCCTAGGGAAGGAACCTGGAATGAGAGGGTTGCCCCTCTATGTGCCAAAGGGTCTGACACCGTCGACTTTGGGGAACGCACCCACACTCCCCCCAAGCACACCACTAGCTATGGACCAAGTAGACAAGCCCTTTAGGAATATTTTACTCAATTGTTACTCACTCAAAGACATTAGCCAGTGTGAGAGCATTAGCCAACATTGTTACATAATTTCAAACCACTTGGTTGGGTTTGTGAACTCAATGATAGCATTAAACAGATTTGTTAATTCACATAAATCACATCACCATTTATGTGATGTTTAGCATTATATAAAAGTTACATATAAAAATTTTAAATCCTACTGTCATACCGTTTATGAAAGATGCCACCCTTGGCATACCTTGACCCTCGGCAGGTGCTTCACCTAGGTATTCAAGTCTTCCCCAACTCTGACAGCACACCTGTCCAAGTGCATGTTATTATCTCCATTTTACAGGTGAGGAGACTGAGGCACAAGATGACAGTTCTACTTTCTGGTGAGGGTGGGGTGAAAATTTGAACCCCATTTTAAATCCACGATGTTTGCAAATGTGCATAGAACCCCCACCCAACAGATCCAGGGGAGTAAAGAAACAAAAGCAAACCCAAACAAACAAAAAAGTGTGGGTCCTGAGATAGGGAGCAATGATACCCAGAGCTCAGTTGATGGGCTAAATTGTCTGGTTGCCACCTGGAGTCACGTCTGCAAGACCCAGTCTGTGCCTGACACCTGAGTACCAGAGACCTCTTGGCCCAGTGCGGTGTCAGCTCTAAGAACTAGACCTCCAACGCCAAACCTGATACATCAGAACAAATTATACACAGTCCGTTATAGCTGTAGAGAGCTCTGATTTCTTAGTCAAATATTATCTTTTTGAATATTTTCAGGCCCAGACTTGACTGTGTGATTCCCTCATGGCCAACTAAAAACACCGCACAGACGTGACCTTTGCACTATGCTATATTAATATTTTCTTTCCTTTTTTGTAAAGGGACTAGTTATACATACATTAGATGAGATTAGAAAACACCCTTTTGAGAATTAATATTTGAAAGGATTACCGAGAAAGAACTGAGGTTCCACCCCCGGCCCCTTACCATTGCTCCCCCCACCCCCCCAAGGTAAATCATATGAGGTAGCAGCCTGCCCCACATCCCAGGAGACAACATCTTGAGCGCATATGTTATGCTGGGTTCTGTATTGACTAATTTGAAAACTCCAGGGCAAAATAACCCAAGTTCCCCACGTCAAAAATGAAACTAAAATCGTGGAATGGAATTGGGGTCCTTGTCCCCACATTCCAACAGCTTCATAAAATAGCCACGGGAGCAGATAAAATTACAGGTTAGCAAATTGACCATTGCAAGAATCAACCTGTTCTGTTGGATTCGAGTTGCCAACAAACCCAGCCACCTCTCGCTCGCTTGTTACCCACCGTCCCCTCCTTTTCTAGATACTCTCACATTTGACAACATTCCTATGGAGACCATTACTAACTAGCGGGCTTATCCAAATATATGCTATAGTATAAATAGTCATGATATAAATATTTCTCACAAGAGCTGCAGCGATGGTGTGAATAAAAAACTCCCTTCTGAGATTTCGGTAAAACCAGATCTCACAAAGGATCTGAAAGAAAACAAAATGAAAACAAGGAACAAACATATACACATAGAGAGACACACACACGGAACAGAACAAACACACAGAACAAACCTTCTGTTAATCCGGTTTTTAGCATAACATTCACTATTTTGACACTATTTTATGAAGTACAATTCTGTCCCTGCCCCAGTGAAGTGGGAGAGATGAATCGGCTACAGGTTTCTCATTAATGTTCAGGGGGAGGGAGTGGGAATCTAAGCATGTTCAGTAGCAGCTAATAAAAAAAAAATTCAATACAGCAAAAGGTTAACACTGTCAGATGGCCAGGCATGCAAGAGGAATTTCCACGCCACTCTCCCAAGACATGCAAAGCCCCAAACACACCAGCCTGAATTCTTAAATCATAAAGCAGATATACCCCAACGCTTACGGGCCTTACAGTGAGAGCACATCAGGAGGCACGGTGCGTGGGATGGACCTGGCGTTCTCGCATAAAGCGTTATCTTTGGTACAAGTACACACGGCAGGGCATTTGGACTTGGCCGGTTTCTTCCCCTCCGTCAGCAAGAGCGCAGATAAGAGACAGAACACATAAGCAATTCTTTTCAGGGGGACGCAGGCAGTTCCCATCCTTCGGCTTCTCCCTGATTCCATGCAGCAGACAGAAGAGCCCCAAACATGAACTGGGCTTCTGGAATTCAGAGGTTGGCTCTTCTGGTCACATCGGAGTCCCCCCTCTTCCTTGGCCACTGTCTGCCTGCTCTTCAAAACAGGGACCTGCGGCGGATCCCTGAGCTGCTCCCCGCGGCTCGAGCCCCGCGCTGCTCGGGGAAGGGACCTGCGAGGTGCTGCGCGATGGGAGCGGTCCAGCTGCCGGAGCAGAGCGCAGGCTTGCATCACCACGAAAGCACTGAGCGCAGAGCAGCCTTCGAAGGCAAAGCGAAGTGATGCAACAGAAAATAAACAGCTCTCTGCTTTCACTGGGAGGCCCTTTAATTGTTACCAAAAATAGGACGGCATTATGGCTTATGAGTGGGTGGGTGGGCGGGTGGGTGGGAGCAGTCATCTTGTATGGGAGCTCGGCAATCTCAGAGACCTCTGGGAATTGGCTTTTCGTGTCGCAAACAGCCGAGTAAGAAAACTAGCTTGAGAGTCAGCCCTGCCTGGGGGTGGGGGCAGCGGGGGAGGGGGAAGGGGGAAGGGGGGGGGGCGGCGGATAAGAAATTAAGTTAAATGGGATTCTCCATCACATTCGGCTCCAACCTGGCTGTTTCTTGTGAGTCCACCTGACGGATGCTATCGTTGGAAAGACAAATAAGAACACGCGGAGGATGGGACTTTCAGGGAGCCGGGTGTGAGTCAAGACTTGGCTGACATTTCTCACCTGGGAGGAGTTGTAGGTTACTCACTCCCCATCCACCCATCCACGAACACACAGACACACACACAGAGACACATACGTGTTATCTGTGCCCTCCTGGCATGAGGGGTGGAAACGGTCCCCATGCCCCTTCCTCAGTGGTAGCACTAGCCACGAGGTACTTCCCTGCCAGAGGGAGGCAGCCAACCTTGGTTACCTGGGCGTGCACTGCCCTGGCTCAGCCCAAGAGCTTGCTCTGATAGGGTGAGGACAACAGGGCATTGCGATCCTTGGACCTGATGTGGAGTTCTAGTTCTGCCATGAACTACCTGAGGAGAGGCCTGGGTCAGTCTCCAGTCTGTAGACTGGGATGCTGGTTCTCTCTTGACCATGAACATGCTGACCCCAAGCCAAGTACTGTGGTGGTGCCCCCGTGTGTGTCAGAGTAGAACTGCACTCCGAGGGTATTCAAAGGGCTGGCATTTGGAAGTAGGTTGCCAGGACTTTCTTCCAAGGTGCCTCAGGAAATACCAACCTTCCAGTTAGCAGCCAAGTATGTTCATTATTTTTACCACTTAGTGGTGCCAAAAAGAACCCCCTCCAAAAACAAAACAAAACAAAACAATAAACACCCCAGCTGATGGCAACTTGCCTTTGACTCATGGTAGATTATAAGTGAATGCCATACTTGATGAGGAAGTGAATGCATTCATTCAGTGGAGGAAAAAACAACAACAAGGGGCCCTGGAACTGGGGAAGGGTATATCACAGAGGGTGGGATGGCACTTACGGGGGAAAAAGAGGACAACAGACCCCTGACCCATCGTTTGAAGCTGGCACAGTTGGCCAGGAGATGTCAGTCCACAGTTGTCTCTGTTTCAGTTTCTTATAATGCAAGTGTTACGGGAATGTTTGAGCCAAAGTGTGATGTTAATGGACTGCCGCACAAGTCCTTTCCTTCTCTTAGCAGGCTTGCGAGCTCTGCAAGCAAAGGCAGTGACCGGCATGTCCATCCTGTTTGTTACTGTCTGTTTATCCCAGATGATTGTGAACGCCAGGAAGGCAGAGACCCTGTGGTGAGCCAGGTGCTCCCGCAATGTCTCAGGTGAGCAGCAGAGTACAGCCCACTCATCATCATCAAAATGCTCATCCCGTCACACTTCAAACTGCAACTCAGAATTACAATAAAGAGACTGGACGAGTCAAGGAAGTAATGACTGAACTGAGATCCAAGGTTAATGAAAAACGAGGTCCCGTTGATTCAGACTCATAGGGACCCTCGAACGACCGGATAGGGTTTCCAGGGTTGCATTCTTTATAGAAGCAGACTGTTACATCTTTCTTCTGCAGAGTGGCTGGGGGATTCAAACCACCGACCTTTTGCATTGAGCTTTCACTATGTTAGCACCTGAGCTCAGGAGGCCTAAACCAGGCAAGTGGAGCTTGATGAAAGTGGGTCTGTCAGAAAGAATAGTCATGGATGCCAGCAGAGTGATATAAACTGGGTTGTGTTTCCAAAGGACCAGTAAATGCTAATCAGTGAATAATTATCTGAAGATTTGTAAATATGCTGCTTGTTTCTACAGACAGCCAAAAAAAAAAAAAAAAGCCCAACTCGGTGCACAAGAAGGAAGGCATTTAAAATGGATTTTCCTGACGCTCCATTGTCAAGGACGCCATGGAGCGGGACCTGGGAAGACAGGATTGTATTTTTAGAATTCACCACCTATGGGTAATCCTCATTTGAAACAGTAGAAACGTTCCTTCAAAATTGGCTGCAAGTCAGATTTTTGTGAACTGAATCTTGCTTCAAATGCATAGTGGAAATTGGCTTCACAGGAGTGTGATGTGGTGCAATTTTTAGAGAAGCCTGTATAAGCAAACAGGAGGGCTGGTGGCATAGTGATTACGCGTTGGACAGCTAACTGCATGGTCAGCAGTTCAAAACCACTCCGGAGAGAGACAGGGATGTCTACTCCTGTGAAGAGGTACAGCCTTGGAAACTCACGGGGGCAGTTCTACCATACCCTCCCTATAGGGTGGCCATGAGTCAGAATTGACTTAAGGGTAGTGGGCTTGGTTTTGGTAGAAGCCAACAGACACCCTCTACATTGGCTTGCAAGTGATGGGACTTGTGACTACAACATTAAGCAGGCATTTCTGAGATGTCAAACCCAGCCCCCACGTTACAGATGAGGAAACTGAGGCACAGACGGGTCTCACGGCTGACTAGCATCAGAGCCTCCATGCTCACTGTGCGGTTGGCCGTCTGGCAGTTGCTTGGTTAAACTGGTTGGTGAAGTTAAACAGCCAGGATAATTCAGCCCCTACATTCCACTCCCAAATGCATCAAATGATCAAGCCTGTTCTACTCGCCCTTGCCTTTTGTGATATGTAGACGCAGCCAAAGAAAGGGTGAACATTCTTTCCTGTTTGACATGGTCAAGCTGGCAGGGCAAGTGAATGAGCCAAAGAAATCCTGTCCTTACTATTCACGTTGCAGCTGGATTTATCACTTGTCAGTCCAAGTGAACAAAGGTCTCCTGGGACAAAAAAAGAAGAAACAGACCCTCTTAAGACAAATTACAATGGGCATTCGGAAGAGACGGTAACCTTTCTCTTGGTCTTTGGCATTTCAAGGCTAGATTTGAATTCCTTGCTCCATTGCAACCCCCACAAAGATGGTAGACTTTTAACTCTGTAAAGCGGGATGTTTTGAAGAAGGAGTAACTGCTTCCTGGTTTCGGAGTTGGGTCTGAGGAGGAGATCTGAAGAGGAGAGCAGGTAGCTGATAGCAGAATCTTGAGGGGTCTCAGCAGGGGCTTTCCTGCTGCGGGTGCCTCCTTCTCTGAGAGATCCTTGGGGGTCACAGAGAGGGTGCTAGAAGGAATTGCTGGAAGCGTAGGGGTTTCTAAAAACTTGGAGGCCTTTAGATAAGACTTGGCAACCCACCTAGAGGTTATAGCGGGGGCCCAGGAAGAAGGGAGGGAAGCACAGCTGGAAGGAGAACCAGGGGAGCTAGGGGCCCAGCTAAGGTGGACTCCAGACCCAGTCCAAGCTGTCGAGGAGTAGCTAAGCAGGGTCCAGGTTCGCCTCTGCACTCTGCCAGGGCTCTGAGCCTGGGCTCTTAGTCAGCCTTGTTAAACTACAGCCGTCTCTGTGAAATGGGGACAACAATAGTGCATCTCACACAGAGTGGCTTCCAGAATGAAGTCAGAGAATGTGTCCAACGTGCTTGGCATAGAGTCCAATTCAGGGAAAGGGTTTAATAGCAGGTTGCCATTGTCGATACTGTCATCATCATCATCATCATCATGGTCATCATCTTGGTGGCAATGAGATTGACATTCTGAACATACGACTCTTGGTCCACAGGAATGACGTTCAGGGATGGAAATGGGCTTAGCTTCAGTCCAGGTTCACTCTAGGAAGCAGGAGCTTCTGGGCATGATGTCAGCTCGTGGTCTTGCCAAGAGGCTTATTTACACGAAGGAACCAAGGAGTCTCCTGGGAAAGGAGGAACTCACCATCAGGGTGAGACTGGGGACACTGACGTTTGGACTAAGGGACACGCTCCTCACCAAAGAGGTCCCAGCCCGTTGCTACGGAGTCAGCAGACCTTTTTCCCCAGCACCATTGGATGGGTTTGGACTGCCAGCCAACCTGGCAGAAAGTGGTTGTGCCTGCCAGAGACCTGGGACCAGATCCCAAGCTGGAGAAAAAGAAGCAGGCAGTGCACACAGGATGCAGATATTTTCCAGCCCACTCATCTTAACCATCCATACGGGGATACACAGAGTTTGCTCTGGGACTTTGCACAAATGGTACGGGGACTCGGGCGGGGGCGGGGAGGGCTCTCTCTACCTTGGTGGGTACCATCGCATGTGAGATTCGGTGCTGGGAAGGCCATGTACAGTGCCTGCTGTAGGGATTTGAGATGGATAGTGTCCAGGCCTGCAGCTCAGACATCGGCCACGTACCTGGGTTTTCCACCAGCCTTTCTCGGCTCAGCAGCAGTGACAAGCGTGCAGATATCAGAGGAGCTGGCAGCTGGAGCAGCAAAGGAGAATGAGGGAGATGGTGGGATGCTTGGGAGCACATGTGTGACACTGCCTGGGCAGTCTCAGGACGACTGGCAGGGGGTTTCTGAGGGTGGTTTCAGGTTCTGGAAGAGCAGATGAGAGCAGAGGGAGGGAGGAACAGCCTGATGAGAATCCCATCTAACCCTCCCGTCCCCCTGCTCACCCCCCCTCCCAGGCGTGTGTGGCCTAGGAAACACACATGTGGAAGTAAACAATCATGAGGAGCCATGGAAGATCAAACTCACCCGGCTCCTATTCACAAACACGCCAACACACAAACGGGTGTCATGTTAAGTAGCGTTCTCACTGCAGCAGGGGGTGTGAGACTGCGACTCGGATGCAGTCGAGGGTTGGGAAATCAGGTTAGTGGACTACGGGCAGAATGTAAAACATGAGACTGGTTAGATACTGCCTCTTGAGTGCACTGTCCCCATAAGGGTAAATATTGCCTTCGGGAGCCCTTGTTTCCATGCCCTGTGTGTCTCTGTGGGCAGGATTGTGATGTAA